ATCTCTCTCCACCCCCTGGCTCTCTTAAAATCAATAAAGAAAAAAAAAAAAACCAGGTAGGTGGATTGCTGTTATCTTCACATTATATGCCAATGTTAACAGATGCTCTAACTCACCACTAACAAATGCAATCAGTTATTGAAAACCTTTGTTATTCCAGCCAACGGGCATGTTACTTTTTTAAATGTCATGTTCTTTATCAGATTACAAAAGCAATACATGTTCCCTGGAGAAAATTTGGAAAATGAAGTACAAAGAAGTAAAATACAAAGAAAAAAATTCGGCAATGTAACACCCATTCTAATATTTTCTTTAAGATTTTTTTGTTTTTAATGCAAAGGTTTTTGGCAAATCAAAAATCTGGGGAAAAAGCATAACATTTAGCTTCAAGGTTAACTATGGATAGTTGATTTCTGTCATTCAGAGACAATCAACTATAATGAAGTACAGTATGTAGGCCAATGGACAGGGTAGTGGTAATAGGGCCAGGAAATGCACATTTGGTTTTCAATTTCAGAGTTTATATTATACGATGCAACTTTTTATTTTTCCAAATATACTGTAAAAATGTATGTGCGAACATGTTCATGAAGATCTCTAAGCATCCTGCATAAAATTCTTCAAAGAATATATTCTATAGCCAAAAAAATCAAAACTACAAATGAAAGCAGTTTTTTTTTCCCTGCTCTGTCTCTAATTCCCATTTTCAAATAATGTGTAACATAAGCATTGTATAGCCAAAGTCTCAATCACTTTATCTCCAATGATGTTTTGTTCTCATCTATGGGGTTATTTCTAAATGACATTAACAGTTGTTCCAATAACCCAATTCTAAATTAGAGAGCCACATTGTACAGAGATGATGATCTTTAAGAGTTGTTCCCTGCCCCCCATTAAAGCAAAGAGCAGTTAATGTATTCTTTTCTTTTCTTTTTCCTATTATATTTTATCTTAATAGTCTAAAAATTCCATGATGAGTACTTGTCAAGTTGTTCCGTTTAAAAGCTCTGATTTTTAAAAGCAGAGAGTGTATAACTGCCATGAAACAAATGGTATACAAACTAGCTTTTTCCTTCCAGAAGCCCTTACCATATGTTGTGGTCATAAACCTATCTTCACTACTCTTCTAAAAGCCGTCTTCCTCAGTAATTAGAGACTTAACTGTTGTTTAATGTTGTACAGGATATTCATTTTGCCAATTTTGGTGTATACATGAGATCTTTCAAGGTCCAAAAATTTTTACTCATCCATCATGACATCATCTTCAACACTGAGCCTCATTTAACAAAGAAAAACCTGGTCCAGAGTAAGATGAATTCGTCTTCTAACACTCTGCTGGGATGGCAGTATCCCTTGTCTCAGCAATATGTCTACGTACTTATCCAGCATGAAGGGCATATCCAATCATGATCTGTCCTAAATGTTCAGGGTGCTAACTTGTGTAATAACTTCATTAATAGATTATTTCTAATGTAGCCAGGGCATCATTTCTAATGTCCACTGGGTGAACACATTTAACAAAAATATTCTTGCTATTGACTTCCACGTGATTACTGGAGGGGTTGGCCAGGGGGTGAGGATGATTCATTTAAATGACTTTAAAAGAGTTGAAGATAACTTTAAGCAAATTTTAGTTTTATCAGCTAGCTCAAAATAATTCACTGTGTCTGGCCTTAGAACATAAGTCTCCATATGGATGACAGGCATGCAGTATTTCTAGCAATATGTAGAGCTATCGGAAGGACAGTTGTAGTGGCTTCTCATGAATGAGAAAGTACAAGCAGTGTAGTTTCTGGCATTTTCAGATTCATGGGTGGCTTTCGTCCTTGGAACCAAGGCATGTAGAGTGGCTCCACCATGTTGGAATCATTAAAATAAAGTTACAAACATCATAGTTTAGAATGGGTGGTGATCTCTTTGATAATTTCTTCATGGCTCTTCCTTTTGGAGGATATTTAGTTCATTCCATTGTGTCAGAACCAACCATCAGTTGCTTGCAACCCAGCTAGTAAGTTCAAAGGGAAAGCTCTTAGATCCACTCAGCAGCCTTGTTTCAAACTTATTGTGATTATACCTTTATTTTCTCCACATTTATTAGTCTGATGGCGGGTTGTGGTAGGCTTTTCTCAGTATATCTGCTCAGTCACTAAAACTGAACTGGATCTTTTGCTTTCACATGTGTGCATTGGTTTTAATGATTGTGTGTGTGTATGTGTGTGTGTGAAATCTGTGTCTCGTGTTAAATTTGTTGAAAGAAGTTTATATCCACTTCGATGTATTTATTTATTTATTTAGAAAGGAAAGGAGAGGGAGATAGATACATTGATGTGAGAGAGAAACATCCACCCACTGCCTCCTGCACGTCTCCTACTAGGGGATCAAGCCCACAACCCCGGCATGTGCCCTGACTGGGAATCCAACTTGGGACCTCTCTGTCCATGGGATGGTGCTCTATCTACTGAGCCATGTTGGCTGTGCCACTTTGATGTTTTTAATTCAGATATTTAAATCTATTGTATTCGATTTGACAAGGCTATTTGACGTATCCTCACTAACCTTACATGTACAAACCCACCTCAGAAAAGGCAACTCTATGCCCTGGCTGGGTTACTAAGTTGGTTGGAGCATCGTCCAGTATACCAGAATGGTTGCAGTTTCAATTCCCAGTCAGGGCACATACCTATGCTGTGGGTTCAGTCCCTGATTGGGCTCCGTAAGGGAAGCAATCGATTGATGTTTCCTCTCTCTCTTCCCCATCTTCTCTCTCTAAAATCAATAAGAAGAAAGAAAAGAACAGGCTGCTGTTGAATTCAGCTATGTTCCCTTCTGCTGCTTTTCACTTCAAGGGATAACATATTCAGGCAGGTTACCAAATTGTGTATTGATCTGAGTCACGGGACATTGATCTAGTCTTACTTGCATTTATCTGTGTTTCCAGAGGTGCCATTTTGCTTTCTGAAATTTTCCGTTGCCCTTGAGTGAATATGCTGCACTCCCTGCTGCTGGTCATCCAGGTTCCTGCTACATAATTCCTATAAGGTTGTGATTGGCCAGATTAGTATAAGGATGTGCTTTTATGTTTCAATATGTCCTTTTAAGGTCTCTTTTTGTCTATTTACCTGTCAATTTCTGTTGTAGGTTTCTTAACATACTTGAGCAAGTCAGAGGCAGTAACGATTAGTGCAGATAGGTTAGCTTCCACTGTCAATGCACGGGTATTGGATTCTCCGTATCTTCAGAATCGTTTGGCTTCTGGTGACAGAAGAAACCTTAATACAAATTGTGATGTCCACAGCCTCTGACTTTAACACGTCATTTACTCTATTTGTATAGGAAAGAAGAAGGTTGAGAACTTTTAAAAAAAGATTTAGACTTCCGTATCTGTTAGGTACTTGATATACATTTGCCCATAAAATTATCATAATAATCCCAGAAAGAAGTTATCACTGTCTCCACTATCCAGGGGAGTTAATTAAAAATTGGAGAAGTTGCCCTGGCCGGTTTGGCTCAGCGGTTAGAACGTCGGCCTGTGGTCCAGAGAGACCCAGTTCGGTTCCTGCTAAGGGCACATACCTTGGCTGCAGTTTGTCCCCGGCCCTGGTTGGTCATGAGGGTGGCAGCCACTCCATGTGTCCCTTTCATGTCGATGTTTCTCTCTCTCTGTCTTCCTCTCTCTCCCTCCCACTCTATCTGAACAAAAAATAGAAAAATATCCTTGGGTGAGGATTAAAAAAAAAAATTTGGAGAAGTTAAATATCAGCCCCAAATTCTTACAACTAATTAGTGGATTTAAACGTAGATCTCCTGGCATGCATCTTCCACAATAATCAGATTATTTTCCTTTAACAGTTTTAGAATGTCGTTTACCTTGTGTTTTCATTATTAATAGGTATATTATTTCTTCCTTTAAGATACGTTACTCTCAAAGCGTGGCTCATGGCTAGTTGTTTGAGTGCTGATTCTTGTTTGCTGTCCTAGCTCTACTGAATTGTGAAGTCTTAGCAGAGGGCAGAGTCTACTTTACCAATAAGAGTTCCAGGCAAATCTGATGCACAATGTAATATGAAACTACCCTTCTAAAGAGTCACGTTCAGGATATTTGTTAATTTTCTACATTTCCCGATTCAGTGTCAGACAGATGGTTGCTCAACACATACTTATTATATCAGATTCTAAATATAATTTCAGAATCCTGAGAGAGTTGTTTTTCTTGTATACTAAATCTATCAAGTAATTGTCTGTGATGTTGGCTACCAGAAATCTCCTTTACGAACAAATTCTTTGTATTTTAGGGGGCAATGCAGAGAACATAGGACTAGATCACAGAATTTCAGACAGTATGTAGAGCAATGAATATCCTCTGACATAAAAAAAAAAGCAATGTAATATCTCAACTCTAGTTCAATAACTTTGTAAAAATTTATATATTAGGTAGGCCCTGTCAACAGTTTCTGACTCAGTCCTGTTTTCTTTGTTGTTTTCCCCTTCACCATAAAAAATTACACTCCATGAGATATTAAAGGAGATGGGAACAGATGGTATTTTATTAGGAGAAATGGAAACCTTTGCATTCAACACGAAATATTTTTCTTCAGGAATTTTTTCTCAATATTTTTGAACCTGCAGAATATTTCTTTTCTTTTTTTTTTTAAATTTAATTAATTTATTTTTGTTACAAATGTTTCTCCTTTTTCCCCCAGTGATATCCCCCTCCCCAACCCTCCCTGCACTGTCCCAAACTTTGTTGTCCATGTCCATTGTTCATGCATACATGCATATAAGTTCTGTGGTGTATCTTTCCCCCCACCCCCTCTTCTTGGGATTGTCTGTCTGTACCCCACTTCCACGTCTCTGGGACTACCCCATTCTTCAGACTGTTATGTTCATTATATTCCACAAATAAGTGAGATCATGTGATATTTGTCTTTCTCTGCTTGGCTTGTTTTGCTTAAGATAATACTCTCCAGGCCCTCCATGTTGTCTCAAAGGCGAAGAGATCTAAAAATATGGAATGCTTCATGAATTTGTGTGTCATCCTTGCGCAGGGGCCGTGCTAATCTCTGTATCGTTCCGATTTTAGTATATGTGCTGCCGCAGCGAGCATGAACTTGCAGAATATTTTAAAACTACCAGTGGGCACTGAAAACTTTCCATCAGTTTCTGGGCTCTTTAGATTTCTTGGCACCATGGGACTCATTTGGATATCACTCTATATAATGAATGAATTAATTAAATGAGTGACAAATTATAGACATCTTACATATCAGCTTGGGAAAATCTGAAGATTGAAGGGGATGCTCATTTTTCACTTAGAGGTTGGGTTTAATAGGTGAGGTCTATATAGTGTCTAAACACGAAGCTCAAACATACTATTATGTTAGGTCTTATTCTAGAATCTTCTAAACCTTATGAAGAGAACCCAATGAACTCCTGTAAATCCAAATGATCATTTATTCCATATTAAGGCTCTCTCAGTACCCATATGTGAATAGATGAAGTTATTTTCTGTGATTTTTAGAATAAAGTAATGAAGTCAGTTGTATTTGCTACATACGCCGTTGCTGTTACATTTGGTTTATGGGAGTGATGTTAGGATATAGAGAAAGCCTCTGTGTCACCACCATGTCTCATAGATCGGGTCATTACAGTGCTTACCACAGAGTCTTCTAGTAGCGTGTTTATCATTGCTTCTAGACATATTTGGAACGGATATTAAATGATTAGAAAACAGGTTGAATGAAGAGAAGTTGAGGGTGAGTAAATTTCTGAAATGAAAGAATCAAACTAAACAATCTTTACATTTTCTCTTATTTCTTAAATTTCCAAATATTGTGGAGGTTTTATGCACATAATTCAGTTGCCATCAAACCTTCAAAACACAGGAGAATTCCCAGTTTCTGCTTTCTGATATAAGCATAGTGTGTTGCCCTCTTTTATTCTTGCCTGAGTTTCTTTATCATGGGGGACTGTTCAGCAGCTGCCTTGCAGGGAGGAGAAACTCAGCAGAATTCTCATGGCAGACATTTGGGCATTGGGAACAGATATGTATTCAAAAATGACCAAATATGGTAAATCAAGAAAATGGGTGCTTTCTTTTCCATTCACAATGCATTTAACTGGCACAGAAGCTGCTTTTCTAGGAATGGGGAGCCGCAATGAGATAGAGCAGCCTGTTCTCTGCCAGGCATCGATGTGCACGATGACAAGTAGGCAGGGCCCTCTCCTTGCCCACCGCCGCTGCCTGCTTCCCGGCACACAGACACATTGCAGGAGGGTGTGTGAGGTGTGGGGGGCAGCCTATGGATTAAAGCCCACAGGGTATTTTTGAGTAGACTGGACTGAATACGTATAATCAATTTGATTGTAAAACTGGTCTGAATTTACTTCAGAGTGTCCATATAATATTTTCCACTCTCAGAAAAATTGGGTAGTCATTAAAAATAATCAATTATAAAAATATTTCTAAACAGTTCTAAAATGTAACACTGGCGGTATGTGAAATCAATGCCAATTTGATTGCATGTGCCGTCCTTTCTCTCTCACCCTGACTTTTAAGGTTTCCTAAAGGGAAAGAAAATGTGCTTAACACGATCTGGTTATTTTTAGGGCGTATTTGGTGTAGTCAATGAGCAAATGAATATTCACGAAAATATCTGAGCAAAGACAGCCCTGAAAAAAAAATCCGGTAGAAATCCCTGCTAAGGAGCTCTGGAGGGGCCCTGTGCCCTGGGGCATTTCTGTAATGTGACGACAGCTGGACTCATCCAAATGTGATTTCAAAAGCTCTTATACTTTTAAAAGTCAATGCATTTCTTTATTATGGTGGACAGAGTTGGCTAGCTAATCTAGTAGTCATTTCCTACAGGTTTTCTTTGCTTGCGGCCACTGTGAAGATAGGAAAGCAACACACTTTTTTTTTTTCAGTCTCCTTTGCAAGGTAGGGAGGCGATGGGATATATTCTGGCTAATGAGATGTACGTGGAAGTCTGTTAGGAGCTTCTAAGAAAGTTTCTACTTTCTGATACAAACATAGTATGTATCCTTTATTCTTGCTTGAGTGTAATTATCACGGTGTGATGTTCAGCAGCTACCTTGTATGAAGGAAGTACAAGAGATGGTAAGGCCAAGAGAGATATTAGCCCTAATATTATGGGTGAACTAATTCCTGGAATTCTAAAAATATAGACTTGTCTCTTTGAGGCAGGGAAAGGAGGAGAAAAATTAATCCCTATTTGTATAAACCTCTGGACTTGGATATTCTGTCACTTATAGCCAATTGTATTCCATGTGACACATTTAACCCTTAGTTGAAGGTAGAAGATCTATTTGGACATCATTATAGATTTTCCTTCTAAAATTTTGAAATTTCATAGGTTTGTGAGATTTTTTCTTACCTTCACAATTTATGTAAATTGTGAAAAAACATTTATTCAGGATAGGAAAAGAGAATGACTTCGGAGAAGATTAGATATTTTGCGTTTCATTTTTTGCAGACAATGGACACACCAATAACAGTAACAGCAGCGGAAATAGCATTCATGTTAAACATATTTTTAATAATTCATACAAGTCTCCATTGTGATTTTGCTATAAGTTATGTCTTAACGTGGTACACTATATTTCTTTTAAAAATTATATACCCTAATTGCAATGTGGTAATTAAGCACTGGACATTAAAGCAGTAAAAATCCTTTTTTCGAAAAACTGGTGAAATCCAAAAGGCTTCAGTGTAGTTAATGGTGACACAGTGATATTAATTTCTTACTTTGACAGATGTATCCTGGTTATATAAAATGTTAGCATTAAAAGAAACTCAGTGAAGGACATATGGTAAATCTTTTTATTTTTTTATTTTTTTTATTTTTATTTTTTTTTTATCCTCACCCGAGGACATTTTTCGATATTTTGTTCAGATAGAGTGAGAGGGAGAGAGCGAGAGAGAAACATCAACGTGAAAGCGACACATCGAGTGCTTGCCACCCACACGACCCAACCAGGGCTGGGGACAAACTGCAACCAAGGTACGTGCCCTTAGCGGGAACCGAACCCGGGTCTCTCTGGACCGCAGGCTGACGCTCTAACCGCTGAGCCAAACCGGCCAGGGCAATCTTTGTAAAGATTTCTGTAAATATAAAATTGTCTCAAAAATTTAAAAGTATATTAAAATTATGTACACATGTAAAAATGATTACATTTTCTTCTTGTGGATATTGCAAAAGTGCAAGCTATGTACAAACACTGATCAGAACTATTGTGACCAGGGTGGTGGCCTTGATTTGTTCCACTGGTGAAAGGACCATTGCTAGCATGAAAGAACATGTGTATTTCAGGCACAAGGGTATACAGTAGTCCCCACTGTCCGGGGAAAATATGTTCCAAGACCCCCAGTTGAGCCTGAATCCACGAGCAGTATAGAATCCTGTAGTACAGTGTTTTCCCTGAGCATCACTCATGGCTTCTCTTTGGCATATCCATTGCAAGCCGCGCTGCGCTTGCGCTTTAAGGCCACTGCTAAGTAAAGGAAGGGTTTCTTGATCATAAGCCCTTGGTGCCACAGTAGTTGACCTGCTAACTGAGAAGGCTGCCCAGTGACAACAAGCAGGGAGCAGGTGCAGTGTGGGGATGCTGGACACGGGGATGATTCATGTCCCAGGTGGAAGTGAGAAGAACAGTGTGAGATTTCTTCACATATTCAGAACAGTGCACACTTTCAAACTTACGATGAAGTGTACGGAATTTTCAATTTAATGTTTTCAGACCGTGGTTGACTGCAGGTAATGGAAAGCGATAGAAGTGAAACGGTGGAGCCCTGGGCTGGTTTGGCTCAGCAGTTAGAGCATTGGCCCATGGACAGAAGGGTCTCAGGTCTGATTCCTGGCCAAAGGCATGGACCTTGGCTACGGTTAGATTCCTGGGCTTTGTCTGGGTCATGCAGGAAGCAACCAATCGATGTTTCTCTCACATTGATGTTTCTCTCTCTCCCTCCTTCTCTTCCACTAATCAATGGAAAAATATCCTCGGGTAAGGATTAACAATAACAACAGAACAAGTGAAACCATGGATAAGGGAGATTACTGTATAAATAATGTTTTTATACAGACGCATCTGTTTTATGGGCAGAAACCTTGAGTACTCATGTGGTGTTTGTTCCTCAACCACAGTGACAGTGCCTGTTGGTTGGCTGTTGGAATTGCAGGACCCTTATGTAGTCACCGTGTTTCCTTTAACCTAGAACAGCTTTTACTTCCCGCATCACTCCACACTGAAATGCTCACAGGACTGCCCGGTGGCAGGTGGGGTTGCCCCCCATGCACATCAGCCACTGCGTACTGAGTGTTTGCATGTGGAGGTAGTTTTCAAGAAAATAACACCTCAAATATTGCATATATTCAATTTGGTTGCTGCTGTTAGAAGTCTGTTCCCTTGCTCCTCAGTGACTGCTTTTGATTTAGGTATCAGGAGTGGCTTAGCGAGGTGTCTCCTAACTGAGATTCTCTTCCAGGAAAAAAGTGTTCCATGTTTTACCACAAACACTCCCTTTTCTATATTTACATTACTTTGAAATAAATATTATAAAAGGAATTTTAACAATTCACCACCCTCTATGTATATGTGTGTATATATATATTTTTTTCACATTTTCTTTTACTCATTTTTCACATATAGGCAACTAGCATAGTTTTAACAGTAATGCAAAAGAAGTGTTATTTTTAAAAATAATTTTATTGTGTGAGGTCATCTTTATATTTGTAACTGCTGCGAGCTACTTTATTAATTTAATATATCAAAATTTTATTATGTTCAGCACTCAGTTCATTCACATATTGTTCCTTTCATATGTATTATGGCATTGAATGCCCATTGTGGGTTGAATTGTGTCCCTCCCAAAAGTTATGTGTTGCAATACTAACCCCCAGAAACTAATAATGGGACCTTATTTGGAAATAAGGTTGTGACAGATGTCCTGAGTTATGATAGGCCAGGGTGGGACCTAATCTATATGACCGATAGCCTTAGTTAAGGAAAGGAAATTGAGATACACACGCAGGAAGAATACCATGTAAAGATGAAGGCAGAAACCAGGCAGTCCTTCTACAAGCCGAG